CTCCCACCATAAGACTTGAGCACCCACAACCAGTGACTCTGTCTTTGCCTCTAACAAATTGATTGGGGGGGAGGGGAAGGGACATCATGGGGAGGTAATCCAGCTGGGAATGAATCACACACATTTCTGTGCTGTGGGCTCAGGGAGGCAGCAGGAGATTAATACAAAGATCTTGCTTCCAGTCCTGGTTATGCCACAGTCTAAAGTCTGTCACAGACAAACAAGACAAAGAGAGGAGATGAAGGAAGCTGATGACTGCATTTGGGAGACATCCAAAGAGGGTCCGTGACAGAGGACAACATGGACTGTGATGTGCTGCTGGAGAAATTCAAAGTTAGGAATGGGCAAATAAAAGGAAATGAGACTGCCCCAAATGAAGAGACAGGTATGTGGGAAAGTATGCCCTATAACAGCAAAGATGGTGAAATGAAAAGACAATTGGGGCATGGAAACATTGAATAAATTTTAGCACCATCATCATATCATCATCATCACCACCACCACCATCATCACCATCATCATCATCACCACCATTATCATCACTATCATCATCATCACCACCATTATCATCACTATCATCATCACTGTCATTATCATCACTATCATCATCATCACCACCATTATCATCACTATCATCATCATCACCACCATTATCATCATTATCATCATCACCACCATTATCATCACTATCATCATCATCACCACCATTATCATCACTATCATCATCACCACCATTATCCTCACTATCATCATCACCACCATTATCATCACTACCATCATCACCATCATTATCATCACTGTCATCATCATCACCACCATTATCATCACTGTCATCATCATCACCACCATTATCACTATCATCATCATCACCACCATTATCATCACTTTCATCATCATCACCACCATTATCATCACTGTCATCATCACCACCACCATTATCATCACGATCATCATCATCACTACCATTATCATCACTATCGTCATCACCACCATTATCCTCACTATCATCATCACCACCATTATCATCACTACCATCATCACCACCATTATCATCACTATCATCATCATCACCACCATTATCATCACTATCATCATCATCACCACCATTATCATCACTATCGTCACCATCACCACCATTATCATCACTATCGTCACCATCACCACCATTATCATCACTATCATCATCATTACCACCATTATCATAATCATCACCACCATTATCATCACTATCATCATCACCACCATTATCATCACTATCATCATCACTGTCATCATCACCATCATCATCACCACCATTATCATCATCACCATCATCACTACCACCACCACTGTCATCATCACCATCATTATCATCACCATCACCATCATCACTATCATAATCATCACCATCATTATCATAATCACCAACATCATCATTATCACCATTGTCACCATCATCACTATCATCACCATCACTATCATCACCATCACCACCATCATCACTATTGCCATCATTGTCACCATCATATCATCGTCATCAGCACCATCATCACTATCACCATCACCACCATCACCATCATCACTATCATCATCATTGTCACCATGATCATCATCATCATCACCATCACTACTATCACCATCACCACCATCATCAGTGTTCATCATCACTATCGCTATCACTGTCACCATCATCATCATCACCATCACCATAATCACCATCACCATCATCACCATCATCATCACTATTACCATCATTGTCACTATCATTGTCACCATCATCATCATCACTATCATCACCATCACCATCACCATGATCACCATCACCACCATCACCACCATCATATCACCATCATTGTCACCATCATTATCATCATCACCATCACCATAATCACCATCACCTCCATCATCACCATCATCACTATTACCATCTTCATTACCATCATTGTCACAATCATCACTATCATCATCATCACCATCATCACCATCATCACCATGACCACCATCATTGCTGTCATCACTATCACCATCATCATCATCATTATGACCATGATCATTGCTGTCATCACTATCATCATCACCATTGTCATCATCATTATACCATCATCACCATCATCACTATCATCATCATCATAACCATCATCATTACCATCATCACCATCACCATCATCACTATGACCACCATCATTGCTGTCATCACTATCAGCATCATCATCACCACCATCACTATCATCACTATCATCACCATTATCATCACTGTCATCATCATCATCATCACATTATCATCACTATCATCATCATCACCACCATTATCATCACTATCATCATCATCACCACCATTATCATCACTATCATCATCATGACCATTATCATCACTATCATCATCATCACCACCATTATCATCACTATCATCATCACTGTCATTATCATCACTATCATCATCACCACCATTATCATCACTATCATCATCACCACCATTATCATCACTACCATCATCACCACCATTATCATCACTATCATCATCACCACCATTATCATCACTGTCATCATCATCACCACCATTATCACTATCATCATCATCACCACCGTTATCATCACTGTCATCATCATCACCACCATTATCATCACTGTCATCATCACCACCACCATTATCATCACGGTCATCATCATCACCACCATTATCATCACTATCGTCATCACCATCATTATCATCACTATCATCATCATTACCACCATTATCATCATTGTCACCATCACCACCACCATTATCATCACGATCATCATCATCACCACCATTATCATCACTATCGTCACCATCACCACCATTATCATCACTATCGTCACCATCACCACCATTATCATCACTATCATCATCATCACCATCACCACTATCACCATCACCACCATCATCAGTGTTCATCATCACTATTGCTATCACTGTCACCATCATCATCATCACCATCACCATCATCACCAACATCATCACTATTACCATCATTGTCACTATCATCATCACCACCATTATCATCACTATCATCATCACCACCATTATCATCACCGTCATCATCACCACCATTATCATCATCACCATCATCACTACCACCACCACTGTCATCATCACCATCATTATCATCACCATCACCATCATCACTATCATAATCATCACCATCATTATCATAATCACCAACATCATCATTATCACCATTGTCACCATCATCACTATCATCACCATCACTATCATCACCATCACCACCATCATCACTATTGCCATCATTGTCACCATCATATCATCGTCATCAGCACCATCATCACTATCACCATCACCACCATCACCATCATCACTATCATCATCATTGTCACCATGATCATCATCATCATCACCATCACTACTATCACCATCACCACCATCATCAGTGTTCATCATCACTATCGCTATCACTGTCACCATCATCATCATCACCATCACCATAATCACCATCACCATCATCACCATCATCATCACTATTACCATCATTGTCACTATCATTGTCACCATCATCATCATCACTATCATCACCATCACCATCACCATGATCACCATCACCACCATCACCACCATCATATCACCATCATTGTCACCATCATTATCATCATCACCATCACCATAATCACCATCACCTCCATCATCACCATCATCACTATTACCATCTTCATTACCATCATTGTCACAATCATCACTATCATCATCATCACCATCATCACCATCATCACCATGACCACCATCATTGCTGTCATCACTATCATCACCATCATCATCATCATTATGACCACGATCATTGCTGTCATCACTATCATCATCACCATTGTCATCATCATTATACCATCATCACCATCATCACTATCATCATCATCATAACCATCATCATTACCATCATCACCATCACCATCATCACTATGACCACCATCATTGCTGTCATCACTATCAGCATCATCATCACCACCATCACTATCATCACTATCATCACCATTATCATCACTGTCATCATCATCATCATCACCATCATCACCATCATTATCATTATCACCATCATCAACATCATCATCAACATCATCACCATCACCAACACCATCATCACCACCACCATCATCATCATCACCATCATCACAATCAGCAGCATCATTATTCTTACCTTGAACACCAACACCATCATCATCCTTACTTGTGCAGAACATTGAAGGTTACAAAGTAGTTTCACAGTCAGAATGTAATAAATTTGCATGACCTCCAAGGCATGGTTTATTATTCTTATTTTATAGGCAGAATAATGAGGCCCAGGAAGATCAGAGCCTAGGCCACCTGATTTCAAGTATGGCAAAAATGAGTGCTCTAGAGAACATAACATAGAGCCTGGAGGGCTCACGATGGGCCAATCAGGGCACACGTGGCTCCCAGCTGCAGACATCCTCTGAAGGGCATGGTCCCACCCATAGGTGGTCTATGGAATCTGGAGCCACTGGTCATGGGAGCTGACTGGGCCTGGACAACCAATGACAATCTCTAGTCTCAGGTCAGAAACAAGACAAGAAGACAGTAAGGAAAGAGGGGACAGGACTTCATGAAAGTGATAGAGGGACCCATGTAAATTTCAATTGTTACTGAAATAAAAGGAAGCAAAGAAAAGTTCGTGGGTGCTATGAATAGAAGTGCATCACCCCAGGGTTTTCCAATTTGGACAACTTTCCAGGACCGTAAAATGTAGATAATAATAGTACCTGCTTCACCAGGTTGTCAAGAAGATAATACATGTAAAGTGCTTAAAACAATGATAATAGCTCATGGTAAGAGCTCAATCAATGTTAAATGCTGTTCTTGTTGCTCTCTTCCCCCTTCCTCCCTTTTTTCCTCCTTTTCACTATTTCCATTCTCCTCTCCCTTCTCACCCTTCTTCTCCTCCCCCTCCCCTCTTCTTCTTCTTCCTCTTCTTCTCCTCCTCCTCCTCTTCCTCTTCTTCCTCTTCCTCCTCCTTCTCATTTTTCCTCTTACTCCTGGCCAGGCTGGGGTGCTGGGACAGAGCAAGGGAGTGGCCATTGCTGTTGGTGGCTGTGCAGTACCCAGGAAGCTGAGTGCAGGAGACCAGCTTGTCCTCCCACTTATAACCAAGGGCTCCACTCACCCTGGGCCCACAGGCTGCTCCTCTAATGTCCACTGGTTGGAAAGGCAGAGAGGGCTTTTCCCAGGCCCCAGACCTCCATGTGGAGAGGGCCCTCCTGAGTAGCTGGGACTACAGGTGTGTACCACCACACCTGGATAATTTTTGTATTTTTAGTGACGATAGGGTTTCATCATGTTGGCCAGGCTGGTCTTGAACTCCTGACCCCAAGTGATACACCTGCCTCGGCCTCCCAAAGTGCTAGGATAACTCAGGGGTAACTGAAAAGTGATGTGATGTTCTCCCTGCCATTTTCCTGGATAATAACAACGGAGGAGACAAGTATCTTCCTGTGCTTCCCATTAGTAGAAAACCGCCTTCCACATCTGCACCTTGGGGCTACTTCTGGAACAAGCTGCTTTTCTGAAGATTGATTCCAGTTTGGTCATTTGGAGCCCAGATCTTTTAGCTCAAAGATCCGTTGTTCCCAGTGATGCTTACCTGCTGACAGCCTTCCCCATGGACAGTGCAGCAGAGCTGCGGCAAGCACAGTCCTGGCCTGAGTTTGTGGACTTGGGGATGAAAGAATTATTTTTTTAACGGATACGGGGCCAGCTCAAACACAGTTTTAAAAAATTTCTGCATGTGTTTTCTTTCTAATTTATTTATTTTATTATTATTTTTTTGAGACAGGGTCTCTCTGTTGCCCAGGGTGGAGTGAAGTGGTACGATCTCAGCTCACTGCAATCTCTGCCTCCCGGGTTCTCTTGCCTCAGCCTCCCAGTAGATTACAGGCGTGCGCCACCATGGCTGGCTAATTTTTGTGTTTTTAGTAGAGACAGGGTTTCACCATGTTGGCCAGGCTGGTCTCGAACTCCTGACCTGACGTGATCCTCCCAAAGTGCTGGGATTACCGGCGTGAGCCACCATGGCTGCCCTAATTTCTTTTTTTATTCATAGAGCTTATTTGTAAGATCAGTTTTAGATTTCAGGAAAATCTAGCAGAAAGTACAGAGCATTCTTATATAAGCACCACCCCTAGTTTCCCTTATTACTAATATATTAATAGTATATTAATAGTAATATTATTCTATTATGCAATAATAGAATAATTATGCAATATAATAATTGCATTTATGTGGCACATTTGTTACAATTTGTGGGCTAATATTGATACATTATTAACTAAAGTTTACAGTTTACATTGGGGTTAACTCTTGGTGTTGTACATTCTATGGATTTAGACAAATGTATCCACCATTGT